ATTCTTGTCATTTTCTCCCTCTCATGGGGGACTTCATATCATGAAGGGCTAAGCAAACTGTTTTCAGGTAGCTGCCTTTTATATATGCCTGAGCCATGTTACTGGGGTAACTACAGTGGGTGATAACTCAGTTACAATCAAGTAGCCACATCTGCTTCTCAGTGCCACTGCCTTTTTACCACTAGACTAGAAAGGGTAGCTTGAGAAAATATAAATAGCTGGGTTTCTGGGAGTTTTTCCTCACTCTCTTCAAGTTAATGGTATGCATAACGGGCTATTTTCTGATGTCAATTGGAATAAAGTAGTGTTTGACAATCAGGGATATAAGACTTTATCTGCCGAACTCACCGTTTAACTGCCTCATGGTGCTACATCTGGCACAAAGCAAAAACCTCTTGAATATTAGCTGAATGAGATGGTACGGTATAGAGCAAATTAAGCAAGATCTTTTCTTGCTTCTCTCCAAGGCATTGTGAGCATCCGTTTCCAGCTCTGTATTTCACTAGCAGTGTAACTTTGGAGTAAATCATTTTAGCTGGTAATTGAGGAATAAATGTATTTTGTGTATTGGGTAGGCTTTGTATGGTGAGGCAAAGGGTAAGGAGGAAACCAGGTTTATAGACATGTGTCTGTGACTACTCTACTCCTAATAAAACCAAATATTTCTTTCTTAGCTTTATGTATCACTGCATTCCCCAGTTGCCTGATGTGTGTCCATTTTTGGCTTGCCTGTTTGATTTATTCAGTGCCCCTGTAATTCACAGGGTCTGGGAGTTCACCTGGATTTCCCCAGCGAGCCCAGAGGGCAGGGCATGCACGAATGTGAAGGTCTACAGCTTAGCATTGTTGGTTGTAAGATACTATAGCTGATTCCATCCAGGTGCTTTTTCCTCTAGGAGGGTTGCCCCGCAAGCATCTCAGCCAGGTGCTCTTTCATCGTTTGAAGAAATCTACTGAAAAGAAAAGGATCTTCCCCCGCAACATTTATATACACACATTTTGTTCTTTCCTTTTTGCCATCTTCCTTAAACATGGAAATTGTACCTTCTCTCTTAAGCTGAACTTACTGTTACTTAGAGGCATTTCCCTCTGTTGACCTGCCTGTGAAAATGGTGAGCCTTAAGTCAGAATTCTCATAAGAGTTCTTAGTCTGATTTAAAACTCTTTACGAAGAGTTTTTCATTGCAGCTGTCTTAACTAGTCATGCTTCCCTTCAAAGGAGCCATTTTCTATCCCTTTATCATGCGTGTGTGTCTGTTTTCTACATTTACCCAGTCCTCCACATCCTTTTAAAATGTGAGCTCCACTCTAAACAATGTAGCAAGAAGCCTATGATGGGGCTTTCCTGGTGGCGCAGTGGTTGAGAGTCCGCCTGCCGATGCAGGGGACACGGGTGCGTCCGGAGCCTGTGCTCCGCAACGGGAGAGGCCACAACAGTGAGAGGCCCGCGTACCGCAAAAAAAAAAAAAAAAGAAGCCTATGATGATTGAGCTTGAAAGATGGAAAACTTTGGTCTAACTTAGTAACTGATTAAAATAAGCAGATACTTATTATGAGGTTATCCCTATGACTTTAATAAATCTGCCTAATCTTGCCTAGAACACATGGTCTAGATTTATGTTGTTTTCAAGGTATTTCTTTTAAAAAAATACATTGTATTTTTTTCCTCGGTTCCTTTTCACCCTCCCAGGACTCTCATCAACCTGCACCTCACTATATTTAATTTCTGTGACACAAGTATAGGGTCAAGAAGGATATAGTTGGAAGGGACCTCAGAGACAGGCAGGTGTACTTTTTATTCTAAGACAAGTTTGCTCTGAGAATTTGGGCAGTTCATGTGTCTTTTGTGGGCCTCTGTTTCTACCTTCGTAATATGATCTCCAAGATTTTGGTCAGTTCTGATACTGTTTAATGTTCTGACAATTCCTGTGACATAAAGAATCTGGTAAAGTATAAGAAGGTGCTGAGAAATTCTCTTTTAAATTGAATATGAAGAAGGCATAGGTCCAGATAGAACATTTGAATCTGAAAATTAAGCTGTGAGGTAGAATTTGATCATCAAGTCTCCATCAACCTACACTTCTTTGCTGATCACCTAAAACTTCATCGTGAGCTTTCGTCTCATACATTATGACTTTTAAAGGTAGAAAAGATCTTGGTGACGATCCTTCTTACTTGACAGGTATTTCATTTTTTTTTTTTTTTTTTTTTTGAAGGCTAGTGAATTTCTCAGTCCTGGCTGCACATTAGCATTATCTGGGTTTTAAAGGAATATGGGCATCTCATCCCTTCTCCCCATTCCTTTTCCCCATCCCTGAGAATTCTGAATGCATTGGTATGAGGTAGAGTTGGGGCATCGGCATTTTTAGATAAGGTTCCTTGGTGATTCTAGTATCTAGCCAATGTTTAGAACTCTTAGATGGAGTTCATAAAGATTTATGAGACTTATAATTTTAATAAGGATATAGACAACATATATCTTCAGATGTGCACACCCAGAAGGATGAGAGAGGTAGAGATATTTCTATATGACATGCCATTGAACCTTTCCAATTCTATGGGGTCCAGAGTAGGAATACTATGACACTTTGCTTAATGCAGTGGTTCTCAAAGTGTGGTCCCAGGCCCAGTAGCACCAGCATCACCTGGAGCTTTATTAGGAATGCAAATGATCAGACCCTGACCCAGACCTACTGAATCAGAGCTTCTGGGGGTGGGACCCAGCAATCTGTGTTTTAACCAGACCGTCCAGCGATCCTAGTGAGCTCTAAAGTTTCAGAACCATCAGCATAGAGAGTTGTTGTGGGAGTAAGAGGTAGCCTAGGAAAATCTTAGCACGGTGCCTGGTGCATGGTGAGAGTCCAAAAAACAGAGTACTCTAAAGATAGTGTGTTTGACTTCTTGGTAGCCTGAATATGGCTGGGAGCTAGACTTGACAGCTGTTAGCTATTCTTCCAACTCTAAGACTGTTACTTTTTAAAAATTTATTTTATTGAAGTATATTTGATTTACAATGTGTTAATTTCTGCTGTATAGCACAGTAATTCAGTTATACATATATGTGCATTCTTTTTCATATTCTTTCCCACTGTGGTTTATCATAGGATAGTGAATATAATTCCCTGTGCTATATACAGTAGGACCTTGCTGTTTATCCATTCTATATATAATAGTTGGCATCTGCTAATCCTAAACTCCCAATCCATCCCTACCCCACCTCCCCCTCCCTCTTGGCAACCACAAATCTGTTCTCTGTGTAAGACTGTTATTTATAAGGCAAATGGAGCTCAACTGAACAATCTCAAAGGTGTATCAGAACAATCAGTCCAAGTCACCATCCTTCCACTGTGATATTTAGACTTTCTTTTCTGAAGACCTAAGTTGTGATGTTTTGGTACTATCCGACAGTGACTCATTGAGTGGTAGAGACTATACCACTAAATGTTGAACAGCTGAAATGCAAGGAAAAACTATTTATCCATAGAGGAGGACAGTTCCCCAACACGTCTAAAACATTATTGCTAAAAGGAAAAGGGCACGTAGAGAAATTTTTTTCAGAAAATGAAGGTTTCCTTTTCTTAATAGAATTTCTTGCAAAGAATATTTAAAAAGATTCCATACCAAGAACCCATAGCGATGTTAGATTTCCTAGGATCCTAAAGCCTGGATAGTGTATAGATTTCCAAATTGGATGTTTCTTATTCCAGTTTCTCCTAAGCTTGTCCTGCACACACTTTTAGATTAGTCTTTAGTAAATCATATTCTTAGAAGTGTTTCCTTCTCAGAAATCCTTAATGGATCCTCACTGCATGCACAATAAAATTCACACTCTATGCTAGATGTGGAACACACTTAAAAGCTTATTTTTATACTGCTTTAATTTTTATAACCTTCTAGTGTTATTTTACATTCCTGTGTTTATGCTATATTGTAACTTGCTTTTTATTCTCTAGACCCTGATTTTTTTTTTTTTTTTTTTTACCCTTATGCCTCTATTTTCCTTTATCTCTGTCTAGCATGAACTTACTATCTACATCATAATGTTCAGGGGCAATTTAAATACTCCAGTAAAGCTTCCTTGTTACTCCAAATGAATGTAAGCTTTCCTTTATCTTAACTTCCAAAAGAGTTTGTAGAGCTTAATAAATTACATCTTGTGTTACCTTACCTGTTTACACATTTTTTTCCATCTCTACTTGACTGAAAATTCATTGAGGACAAGCAACAAGTCTAATACACCTCAGTAATCCACCGCTCCAAGCACCTTCCATGTTCTGGCTAAATGTACTTGACACGCTTCTACACCAGCTTTATGTCACTTCTAAGTATCCTGTCTGGTCCTCATTCTCCTGAAAGTTAAGGATGCTAATTAACTGAGGAGAACTTAGGGAATAATTGCTGTGCAGGACAAAAAATTATGTGTCAAAGCCAATTACAAAGCAGTAAAATGCCAGCTAATGCAAATCTCCTTGACTTATGATGGGGTTACATCGTGAAAAGCCCACTGTAACTTGAAAATATTAAGTGGAAAATGCATTTAATACACCTAATCTACCAAACATCATAGCTTAGCCTTGCCTACCTTAAACATGCCCAGAACATTTACATTTAGCCTACAGTTGGGCAAAATCATGTAACACAAAGCCTATTTTATAATAAAAAGTTGAATATATTATGTCATTTATTGGGCACTGTACTGAAAGTGAAAAACAGAATGGTTGTGAGGGCACAGAATGGTTGTAAGTGTATGGGTTGTTCACCCTGGCGATCTCCTGGCTGACTGGGAGCTGAGGCTGCCTGCCGAAGCCCAGCATCACAACAGCCTTGCACCCCATATGGTTACCCCAGGAATAGATCCAAATTCAAAGTACGTTTTTTGTTGAATGCCTGTTGCTTTTGCACATAGGTGGAATCATCATAAGTTGGGGACTGTCTGTGTTTGTAAAGGTGCTATAGTGTTGCATCCATGTTAATTTCATGTGTGTGTTTCCTTTCCGCAGGTGATTTTCTTCCACCCCCGCCTCCACCTCTAGATGATTCCAGTGCGTCTCCATCGGGCTCTGGGAACTTCCCTCCTCCACCTCCCCTTGATGACAGTGCTTTCAGGGCACAGGTAAGATCTGGGGTTGAAGTCATGTTTATAAGCCATGCTAGGAATCATGAATTCTGAGATTGTTTCTGTGGTGGATAAACATTTATCCAGAGCCTACAGAGAGCTTTACACCTCACAAAGCACTAAGGCATTTTAATGCCAACTGCCCAGCTCAAGCTTCCCAGAGTTCTGCTGGCTTGCCCTCTGAAGCCCTGGAAATCCTTTTACCTACTAATTTTATTTTGAAACTGAAAGTCATTCTTTAGGAATGCCATTTGAGAAGTCCACATTTTCTTGTTATCCTGGAGACACACAAGCAGGCTTTTTTATTGCCTTTTTTCTCTTTCCACAGATGTTGCATTCTAAATGAGTAAGGCTGATATTTTAAGGTTCTGGTTGGTCACTGTGGGTACTAATTGGTCAGCAACATCTTTCTAGCAAAAGCAACAGCAAAATTTCTTAGGTTTTCTCTTCTGAGTGAGGCCAGGCGTGCACAGTATGGTATGTGTTGACTATTGAGCAGTATTTGTGCTCCAGGGAGTGTTGAGAGCAAAGTGACTCAGGGCTAGATTCAGAAGCAACAGTAAAAGTTCTCAGCCTGCGTTCATGTAGAGCCACTGGTGACCAGCTGCCACTGTTTAGGCAGTTAAATGCCAGTTACGTCAGGAAGGAAGACTAAATAATATTGTCATAAGATTATTGTCATATTTTTAGGGGTGATGATGTTACTATAGATATGTCAAAGAAAAAATCCTTATTTTTTAGAGAAATGTCGGCAAGATTGGTGAATGAAGTGGAATAGTGCCTGGTATTTGCTTTAAAATCAAAAGAATCTAAAAAAGAGTGGGTATGTATATATATATGTATATATGTGTATATATATATATATATATATATATATGTACATATAACTGATTCACTTTGCTGTACACCTGAAACTAACACAACAGGGTAAATCAACTAGACTCCAATAAAAAAGAATCGTAAGAGTAGGGAGCTACTGAGTGAGAATATAGGTGAGAAAATATTAGTTATGAGTTGATGATTGTTGGGTGCGTGGAGGTTTAATTCATTGTTCGTTCTACCTTTGTATATGTTTAAGATTTCCCATAATACATTTTAAAGAGGAAGGGCCATAGAAAGTAAGTGCTTAAATAGTTCAGTTCATTGTGTGACTTTTTTCCTCTTAAATTTCAGGCTAGAGGAGACAAAGGTAGAAATGATTAATTCACTCAACAAATATTTCTGTGCTCTGTGGGGGGACCTTTATAGCACTACATATTCTATAGCAAAAAAGACAAACAGGGTTCTGCCCTTATGAAACTTACATGTTAGTAAGGGCTGTTCTTTGCATATTGTTTAATTTATGCAATTAAACACTTTGTTTAGTCTATCTTCTTTCTTGAATAGTTATGTAACTATTTTGTAAGCATTTAAAATCTTGAGTTCTGAAAAGTTTGCTTGACCTGTGACAAGAAGAGTTGTGTTTGATACTAGTAGAGCAGCTTATTCTTGTCACATGATCTCGACCAGGTCACCCTAAGGCCTACTTTTCTTGTAATTAAAGATAAGATAACTGTATCTACCTCTAATAATTAAATGAAATACAGATGGATTTGAATGTACTAAACTATAATCACCTTACAGATATTTTGATGTTATAATTGTCGCCATATAAAAGTAACAGCAACAAGAATAATAATAAGGCTGGCCAAGGGTTTCATTAAGAAAAATCAAACCTGGGGCTTTCATAAAATTACAAAAAGTCTTTTTTTTGTATAGATTTTGTCCTATTAACTATATCCAAACTATGACTTTGTTTTTGAAAAGGAAGGAAATAAACAAAAAGCCTGTTGCCATGTTGGCTTATGTTCTATAAAACAGAAGGAAAAGGATAAAAAAATAAAACAGATTTTGCCAAATGGAAAAGGGCAGATCTGGTAGGAGAGGTGTGTTGTTATTGAATATGTGTAAGCTTGTTGGCAAGTTCAAAAGAAAATGGGCAGGGACTTCCCTGGTGGCACAGTGGTTAAGAGTCCGCCTGCCAATGCAGGAGACACGGGTTCGAGCCCTGGTCCGGGCAGATCCCACAT